TTTGAGACTGTACATGAAAAAAAACTTGAAAACAGGAAAACTAACGTGTATTAGTTTTGACCGAAATCAACAAATACTAAATAAGTGTTAGCTGGTCAAATAAGCATTCGAAACAGTAGCTGTAACAATTATTTTAATATACTGCAATATTTGTACAAGTGTTTTAATCAGGTATAAGTTTATCACCACAAATCTTGTATAGCCTCCTCAACATATTAAACACATTTATTTGATAGTTGAAAATCGTTGAGATTGCAGAGAAAAGTCGTTCGCTTATACGTATATCGACTGAATGGATTAAACAGAATTATTGCACCAATAGTTTTCTGTAGAAAGTGTTCATGGTTACAGATATATTTATATTCTCATATCTGTTATGTGTTCTTCCTTAACTACTGTCTCATTGTAGATTGAAATGTCTCCTATGAATGATAAAGTTAGATTGGTCAACTACTCGTTTCGTAAGAACAATATTTTCGTCGACGGAAACGAGGAGCCGAGATCAATTTCAAATGCGAAAAATGCAAGAAACGTTCAGAACAATACCATCGCTCGAATAAAAAATTACACGATTCGAATGAATATGTATGACTTTTTCTTTTCATGTCAAATATGATCGTTATTGCTCTTTCCTAGGAAATATTGTTGTTGGTCAATGCTGAATTTCAGTAACAAACATGTCATTCTACTTCCTATGTTCACAAGTATAGCTATGATCATTGGTATACTGGTAGTTTGTTTTACCTCAGCAAAACCACCAGGTATGCCGTTTTTGTTTTACATTCTTCATATTCAGTACCATAAAAATCCACAGTTAATTCGGTTCTGTTTTATCAGTATTATGAGTTTTGGTTAAAAAACTCAAATTGTGATAATATTTGACATTGACATGTTCGAAGCAAATCATCAAGCAAGAACAGAATTATAAGCATTACAATTGCTTTACATTTCCATTTGAAATTAGCACTGATGAGTGCAAATCAACTAAGATGATCATCGCCAGTAGATCTGATACTTTGTTCATAAGTTGGACCCTTCGATTTTATTTATTGGTAAGAATTATAAATTAGGAAAGAATTCCAGAAAGAATCATCTCATTGCCGCTTTGCTCTATATGAACAAGAATAATAAGTTTATCTGAGATAGAGATTATTGTGTTTTCTATAAATTATTTTTTTCGTATCGCAATAAAACAACAATTTCACCATCAGATATTTTACAAACTCATATTACGCATTGTTAATTGTTGCGAAAAGACCAACTTTATCGTATTTAATGTTCTTGAATTACTTCTTCTATTATTGTCGGTGGTATTCTTTCACATCTCTGAATGAAAACAGCAGCAGCTTATCCTGGATTTCTTTTTCCATATCCTCATCGATATGCTCTTAGATAAAATAGAAATGCAAAAGAATAAGAGAAAATACAAATGATTTTCTCATCGACCGTGACGAAAGTAAATATTTCTTCTTCATAGTATACATCTTTTTTACACTTTCTCATTTTATGTTGCCTGTAGAAAAGAGTAAGAATTACATGTGTTCCGTCTATATCCTTCTTTCATTCTGTTATCATGTATGAATTAGTATGCGTACTCTTTTTTAGTATGTTCAGGTACATTTGTTTTCTTTTTTTCTTTCTGTATGGTTCATATGTGTATGTTCTCTTGTATTCTCCAGTGAGCTCTTATTTCTTTACTATATTCTGATAAATTTTTCCGTTACCACTGTTTGAAACTATAAAACTTTGTAAACTTACGTACGCTATAAAATAATACTTCTATCCGACTAATAGCTGGTTAGTGGTCGAATATCTTCACAAAGCGAACAGATAGTAAGTACATTCCTATTTTATCATCGTTTACCTGTCTCGATAAGAAAAATGAGTAATCCTCACAACATCTTAAAAGTATTATTAAACCTGACATCAGACAAATTATCTTGTAAGTAAAATAAGATGTAATCGAAGATCTGCAACTAAAAACTGAGAAGAATGTTTATTACTATTTGTGATTGAACAGATCAATAAAAGTCACATATTGTTCACTGTACGAAAAACAGCAGAGATAAATATTATTGCAGGTCGTCATTTCCTGTTATCATTGTTCTCTTCTTCGTTGATATATTCCACTGCTCTTGCATGGTTTAATCGACCAGTAGACTCACATCTCCTTCTCTATCGTCATAGTTTTACATATTCTTATTTCAAGGATTCGTAACAGAAATTGTTATGTTCCGTTTATTATTGTAATTCCAAGTTCAAAATACTGACTGAATCACTGACAACATTACCCAATACAACAGTTCCGATATTCATTTGATTCTGTCACAACGTGATACTTAAGCCAGTATTAGGTTTTTAGCAAAGCAAATGCCACAAAATAAACTGTGACATTCGAAAGGGATTCAATTTAGTGTATCGCTATACACCTCACTCATATCATGTCCGTTGGCGTTCTTCTTCATTCTCAAAGGCGACGCGTTTTCGCACGAATTCTACAGTGAATGAAAGAAAGAAACCCAACAAGTGATCTGACTGATGAATTCCCATATTTAGCTCTATCTGAATTCTGAGAAACTAAGCGGGATACTTTTAAAAAATGATGGTTTTGAGTTGTGTCCAAGTATACTAATACGAAAGTTTCCGACACTAGATATTATAGGACTTATGAGGATCTGATACAATCTACACTATAAAAAAAAAACATCGAATAGTAAACTTTTTTCGCGAAGCATATGAACTTACGTGTGCCTAAGACATCAATAAATATATATGTTAGAGCAGCTCTAGAGTTTTTTTAACGTATATCACAGAGGTTAAACGAAGCAACATTTTTCTGTGACTCGTTACGGTTATTCTTTATTCAATATTCGACGTGACAGGAAAGTTTTGTCTTGCACACGGATGAGTAAACAGAGTGCTTTTACACTTTAATATATCTTTAGAAGGAAAGTCTGTTTTTTATTTATTTGGTTTAGACATGCTATTCTATACTTTTCGTTTATCTTGATTGACTAAAATGTCTCGTTTCGTTCTTACAAGAGAACAAACAAGGATAAGAAGAGATTCAGATTTTCTTCTCTACTTTGTTTTATGTATAGTTAGAGCGAAGGATACTTGGAAATGGAGATGGTTAATGGCTACTTTTTTAGTAAACAAGAAAATAAAAACTGAACATTTGAAGAAAGAAGCGAAATGAAATATTGTAGTTGTATTCTCTTATGTAGTGGTGCATTTAGTATGCCTAGAGAACATATAGACGAGCTGAATAGTAATAATGTAAATATGCGATGATCTGCTTACCGAGGTGTGCGAACAACAGAAATAAGAAAACTGATGAGTCAAAGAATTTCTCTTCTCTATTTGTACAAGATTATCTCAGATTTGATTGATATTTCTACAGCAAGGAATTATTATATGAGATGAGTTTGTAAAAAAAATTACCTCATAAAAATGCTCCTTCATCAAAATACCAAAGACACAAGATTTATAAAAAATATAACGATACTATTTCTAAACGAACCTTTTATCCATGTTTCTCTGAAACAGAAAGACAATGATACGAATCCTGTTAAGGTTTTTTATATGCTGTTTATGTCCTACCGATGAGCATGATATGAGCTCAAACGGAGGTTATCAGTTGAATGAGTTGCCCCGTTGGTCGAATAATAATAGATATTCTATATGTTTTGTTTCGTCCATTTCTAATAGGGACCATATTTTATTTTTCTGTAACTGAATCATATACAGAATTCATTTGTTTCCCCTCTGTTGTGATCTAAATATTTTATTATTAAGTTACAGATAGTCATCGATTAGCTCGTCATTTTTTGACAAAAAAAGTCACCTTTCTCTCAAGATAAAAGAAAGATAGTGCTCATTTATTTTAATGCCTTTCCAGTTCAACAACACTATACAGTAATAGTTTAATTAAGAAAAAGCATCAACGAGTGTGAGTGCTCATATATTACTGACCCGTAGGAGAGTTTATTTCTTTTATTTTTTAATAGAAATATCCGTTTTGGGGCATAATTAGGAAATAAACACTGAGTTTTTAGTTTAAGTCCATCATAACAAGGGAAATCGCCTTTTTCTAATAACTCAAGCAAAAATCGTTTTTATTTTTTTTTATTTATTTTTATGTAGGAAACTTGTTTTTTCCTTTTACTTAAGGTAAATAGAAGGACATTCTCTTAAATCCATCTCAACAGAGAAAACCGCTTTTTTCTTGTAGATGACTTAGAAATAGCTACTTTTTGTCTATTGTATGTCTAATAGGAAAAATGTGTTTTTTTCTGCAATATTCAATTAGAGATAATTATCCTACATATTTTGTTCTTGGCTAATAGAAAGGAATTTTTTCTTTTCTGTTTAGTTTATATATAGAAGTGATTTTATTTCAACTACCACATTCGAGTATCCTTTTTGTCGACATTAACGAGTTAGTGATAGAGACCGTACTTTTCAACTCATTCTGATCAAATACACCTTTTTCAAAAAGTAAAGTTAGATATCGCATTTTGCATATAGTTAGGATAGATGTTAACCATCGTTTTCGTCCATTTTAGTGGCAAAAATAGTATTTCTCAAATACAAGAATAAATGGAGTATTTTTATATTGTTTACCTTTTCCAGAAGATAAAATCGTTAATTTTCATGCAACCGAGTTACACGTAGTAAAATTTTATTTTAGATCAACTGAATTTGAATCGTTTTATCCCTCAGTTGAGTTGAAGTTAGAGTGCTTTCATAGTGACGACGTACGAATCAGAGATATTGCTTTATAAAAGTTTCTCTGATTTTTTTTTCGTACATTCAAAAAAGGATATATGAAAGAGTTTATGAGATAAGTTCATATATTCGAAAAGTGTTATTGAGTATGTCAGCGTCTGATAAACTTTTTCATAAATCGTTTAAGAGTTTATTATTTTGCACTTTTTTACGGCTCAAGCGGGATAGATGCATTAATGAGCAATCGATCAGTCTTTACATTGTTTTGCATGTGTCGTTTAGTTCAAAAGTGTGAGCTGAAGTTTAAAAAGACGGAAAAAAATCCGGTTGATTACAGTAAAGGTCGTCTACGATCTGTTGCTGTTGGGGATTTCAACAGCGATACATGGCTAGATATTGTCGTCGCCAATTCTGAGACTGACAACATAGAAATATATTTTGGATATGGTAATGGGGCTTTTGAACATAAAGTGAGACATTCAACTGGCATTGGTTCACAGCCATATTCGGTCGCAGTTGCTGATGTTAACAACGATCATCAACTAGATATCGCCGTGGCAAATTTCGGGATCAACAGTATCGACATATTTTTTGGTCTGGGAAATGGATCTTTCCCCACTCAAATATCGATTTCCACTGACTCATCTCGTCCACGTTGGATCCACTTAGCTGATTTCAACAATGACAGCATAAGTGATATTGTCACTGCCAACTATGGTACCCAGAGTGTCAGTATATTGTATGGATTTGGAAACGGAAGCTTCTCAAAACCACTTATGCATTCGACAGGCTATGATTCTCTACCGTCTGCAGTCATCAGTGGAGATTTCAACAATGACAATCAAACGGATCTGGCCGTTGCCAATACTGGAACAAACAATATAGGAGTGTTTCTCCGCAACAACAAGGGTACTTTTGGTAATCAAACCATATATTCAACGGGCAATGAATCTCATCCTTATTCGATCGCTGTTGGTGATTTCAACAGCGATTCTCACCTAGATATTGCTGTCGCTAATTATGGTACTAAAAACATAGGTATACTCCTTGGCTATGGCAACGGAACGTTCGCAAAACAAACGACATACTCGATAAGTCCAGCTTCTCCATATGCCATCAGTGTTGCTGACTTCAACAACGATGACCTACTCGACATAGCCGTCAGTAATAGAGGCACTAATAATACAGGTGTACTTTTTGGTTATGGCGACGGCACATTTTTAAACCCAACAATGTATTCAAGTGGATCTTTGTCCTCCATTTCAGTTGTTATATGTGATGTCAATGACGACCATCAACTGGATATTATTCTTGCGAACGATAATACGAACAGCATTGATGTATTTCTTAGTTATTACAAGCTCTTTCAAAACCAAGTAACCTATGCCACGGGCTACAGCCCGCGCTCTGTAGTTGTTGGTGATTTCAACAATGACACTCAAATGGATGTCGTTGTTGCTAATCGTGATAGTAACAATATAGGTGTACTTATCGGACATGGGAACGGCAGTTTTACAGATCAAACAACTTATTCTACTGGCTCTGAACCACGTTCTGTAGCTGTTGGTGACTTTAACAACGACGCACGACTGGATATCGTTGTCGCTAACTCAGGTAACAACAATGTAGGTTTATTTCTCGGATACGGCAATGGCAGCTTTTCAGACCAAACAACTTATTCTTCTGGTTCTTTTCCACGGTCTGTAGCTGTGGGTGATTTCAACAACGACACTCAAATGGATGTCGTTGTCGCTAATGAAAACAGCAACACTGTAAGCTTACTTCTCGGATATAGTAATGGTACCTTTGCAGATCAAACAACTTATGCTACTGGCTCTGGTCCAGGATCTGTAGCTGTTGGTGACTTCAACAACGACACTCGACTGGATATCGTCACTGCTAATTACAAGAGCAACAATATAAGTATCCTTCTGGGACATGGCAACGGTACGTTTGCAGATCAGATAACCTATTCCACTGGCTCTGAACCACGGTCTGTAGCTGTTGGTGATTTCAACAACGATACTCGACTAGATATTGTCGTTGCTAATCGTGTTAGTAACACTATAGTTGTGCTTTTTGGATCCGGTAACGGCAGGTTTTCTGATCAAACAACCTATTCTACTGGCTCTGAACCATGGTCGGTAGTAGTTGGTGACTTCAACAACGACGCTCGACTGGATATCGTTGTAGCTAATTCGGGTAGCAACAATGTAAGTGTACTACTCGGATATGACAATGGGAGTTTTTCAGATATAATGACTTATTCCACGCAGTCTGGCCCACTGTTTGTAGCTGCTGGTGATTTCAACAACGACACTCGAATGGATATTATTGTTGCTAATACAGGAGACAACAATGTAGGTGTCATGCTTCAAGAGAATATCGTAGGTTTTGAAAACGCAAAGACGTTTGCATCTGGTAGTGGTTCCGGCTTGCGGTGTCTTGCTGTTCGTGACGTGAATAGCGACAATCACTTGGATATGGTGATTGCCAATTACGGCAGTAAAACAATAGGTGTTCTTATTGGTAACGGGAACGGTACTTTTGCAAATCAAGTGACGTATTCAACTGGCTCTCGCCCGAACTCTGTAGCGGTGGATGATTTCAATAATGATACTCATTTGGATATTGCTGTAGCCAATTATGATAGTAAAAGTGTAGATATGCTTCTTGGAAATGGCAAGGGGGTATTTACGGTACAAACCGGTATCGGAACTCGTTTTCCTTTTGCTCCCTTTGTTCTTGCAGTTGGTGATTTGAACAATGATGGACGATCAGAAATTATAGTTGCCCACGATGGCAGTGACGTCGTCCATATACTTGTTGCATATGACGTTGGGTCGTTCATGAATCAAATAACCTATTCTACCGGCTCTTACCCAATCTCTGTAGCTGTTGATGATTTCAATAGCGACACTCAAATGGACATCGTCGTCGCTAATTACGATAGCAGCACTGTAAGTATATTTCTCGGATACGGGAACGGCAGCTTTTCAAATCAAACTACTTATGCTACTGGCTCTGGCCCAATATCTCTAGCTGTGAGCGATTTCAACAACGACACTCAAATGGATATCGTCGTTACTAGTTACAATAGCGACACTGTAAGTATATTTCTCGGATACGGGAACGGCAGCTTTTCAAATCAAATGACTTATGCTACTGGCTCTGGACCAATATCTCTAGCTGTGGGCGATTTCAACAACGACACTCGAATGGATCTGGTCGTCACTAATGAAAACAGCAACACGGTGAGCTTACTTCTGGGACATGGTAATGGCAGTTTTGAAAAGCAAGTGATCTATTATACTGACTCTGGCCCAGTATCTGTAGCTGTGGGCGATTTCAACAACGACACTCGAATGGATATCGTCGTCACTAATGAAAACAGCAACACTGTAAGCTTACTTCTCGCATATGACAATGGCAGTTTTGCAGATCCAACGACTTATCATACTGGTTCTTACCCAATCTCTGTAGCTGTTGGGGATTTCAACAACGACACTCAAATGGATATCGTCGTCGCTAATTACGATAGCAATACTGTAAGTATATTTCTCGGATACGGGAACGGCAGCTTTTCAAATCAAACGACTTATGCTACTGGTTCTGGTCCTGGATCTGTAGCTGTTGATGATTTCAACAAGGATAGTCGACTGGATATTGTAGTTGCTAATCAGAGGAGCAACAATGTAGGTTTACTACTCGGATACGGTAACGGGAGCTTTGCAGATCAAACGACGTTTTCCACTGGTTCTCAGCCAATCTTCGTAGTTAGTAATGATTTCAACAACGACACCCGACAGGATATTGTCGTCGCTAATTTCTGGAGCAACAATGTAGGTGTACTTCTTGGATACGCTAATGATGCTTTTCTTGAACAAATGACACTCGCCACTGGCAGTGATTCTCAACTGCGATCATGTATCATTGCGGATTTCGACAATGATGAGCAAATGGACATCGCTGTTACTCTTGCAGGGACTGGCATGATCAGTATTTTTCTTGGATATGGCAATATCTCTTTTGCAGATCCAAAGAATTATTCAACTGGCTCTTCATCGTCTCCATACTCTATCGCTGCTGGAGATTTGAACAATGACAGTGTGGTGGACATCGGCGTCGCTAATTACGGTACAGATAGTATGGGCATTTTCCTTGGATATGGAAATGGATCCCTTATGAATCAATCGTTTCTTTCAACTGGCTATGGTTCTCGTCCATACTCTGTGACTGTTCATGATTTCAATAACGATACCGTACTGGATATTGTGATTGCTTATCAGGGCGCTAACAACATAGGTCTGTTCCTTGGATACGGTAGTGGTCAATTTGCTAATCAAAGTGTGATTGTGATCGGCTATGGTTCTATGCCCTTTTCAGTCATCGCTGGTGATTTTAACAATGACAAGAAGCTAGATCTAAGTGTCGGAAATAACGAACTGACAGTGTAGACATATTACTACAGACATGTTAGATTTCTATCTTTTGAGCTTATCGTTTTAAAATATACTTAAAGAACAAACTGAATAGTTTTATTGAAGAAGATTCGAAAACAAAAAGTGTTCTTGGTGTGAGCCGAGGGTGTGTCTAGCTGCTGTTATCATGATTTCGTCTCGGCTAAAAAAATTGATTTGATGGCTTGAGCATATAAGTTGGCACATATAAGAAGTCTTGGAAGGTATTATTTCGTTTTAGTAGGAATGTACTAATTACAAGATTTTCAAAGTCATTAAAGCGTATGAAAAAGTCCTAAAATTTGATTTCGAGGTGGGCCATACTTTTAGTGATTTGAAATGGATTGGAAGGCCGCCCGGGATTTGTAGTGGGTGTTCGAAGTATCTAGGATACAGAGATGGTAGGATGCTAAATTCAAAGCATGGCATGACATATTTCGACTGCTGCTCACATAGTCAATCTAAGAGTGCGGGCGATGGTGAGACTAGCTATCATGACAGGTATTTAGTTCACTCTATGGATCTCATCAGATGTCTTTTACCTCTAATTCGATTCAAAATATTCAAGTCGGGATGTGTATAGCTATCACGATACCAAAGATATTTTGATTTTACTGAAATAATCTTATCAAATGGCACTGGATACTAATACAAAAAGATACACAATCTCTGAAAATTTTGAACCAATATACAAAATATCATTTTCTACTCATGGAAGTTTTGAGTAGAAGCCCCGTTTGACGGATTTGTATAGCTACCATGATACCAAAGGGTGTGGGTGTGGGGTGTGGATTTGGGTGAGTGTCCATCTTTACTTGCACCCGACATGCTCCGAACGGCTGGAGTAACTATGATAAGGTTGGTAATTGAAAAATAAATGTAACATTTAGAAATCGATATTTTGTTAGTATCGAAGTACTGTCTCATAATGTTAATAGTTCTCATAACAGAAGTTCTGATTTGCTTGTGCATGTGAAAAAGCAAGCTGTCTTTGATTTATCATCACGCATTAATTGCTCGACTGTAATGGTACCAGACATAACAACAATGAATACAGTCTATCAACGTGAAAATATAGTAGAAAATCAACATCGCAAATGTGTACCAATAGAGACTTCGGTGACAATAGTTTGACTCATGGGAATTACCGAACTGAACGTGGTTCTTGACGCCGAATACCCACACAGAGCCAGCAATAAACCAAGCGAAATTAAAAATACTGATGAAGCAGAAGGAAATTCCGAGTATACTGTTCATGACAAAAACTCGGTAATTATTATATCTGTATTGATATTTAAGTATTAGTGCCATAATGAGGCTTACAATGATAATGGTGTAGATTACTCCTTCTACCAGTGTGAAGTTAGCGATCATTACTTGTACGGGACACTGCTTTAAGTATACAGCTCCAATAACAAGCATTGGTATTGAAAAAAGAATCGTTGTGATGCACGAACAACATTTTGAACATGACCATTCGTCATGATCACGAGTGCTGAATAAACAAAAATATTAAAAAATAACTTTGTAGCATGTTCGCTGCAGAATTATAATGTGAAAAAGCGATAACAAAATGTTAACGGGGATAGAACATGTTGGTTACGACTATCACGGTTCACTAGAAGAACTAATACTATTGCGACAAAAAATTCTTTCAATATTACAAAACATGACATAGATGTCAGAATATTTCCAACTGTAGGTGTGGCATGCTCGAGAAGATTTGCTTTTCTCACTATATAGTTGAACATCCTTTAAAAACCATATTTCACAATCGAACCATTTCTAGGGACGTTCAATAAAAGAGGTGATCAGTGGTAAGCGAAAACTACACAAGCTCAGACAGGAAGGGTTGGGAGTCAAGCACATAACAACGTCCGGGTGTTTTTTATGAAGTTTTTGCGCTTTTAACGAATGCCAAGATTTTCTTGCTAACAAGTTTTAGCGGCGTTTTTCTAGTATTCGAGCCATTCGATAGCATGAGATTGAATGATTAGGTTGCAAGATTAAGTAAACTAATTATGTAACAGTTTTATTGATCATTTCGTTTAATACGTGTAATGTTTCGTTCTTGTATAGAACATCATCCAACAGAAGCTGATTAAAAGAGAAAGGTTGAAAGAATCCCAAAGAAACAATAAGACGAAATAAATAATTTATTTCATTTCAAATATTCCAACGCAGATAAAACATTGTCTCTCTTGCATATGACTGATTGAAATCAAGAAAATTATTTATTTCGTCTTGTTGTTTCTTCGGCATTGTCTCAAAATTTCTCGTTTGCTCAATTTTCGTCTGATGATGTTCTTGGCAAGATCGAAACGGTACACCTATTGAATGAAATAATCGATGAAAGTGTTAGACAGTTTAGTTATTCTAACGATATCTTTAAATTATTCCATATTATCTTTGACTACCCAAAAGCATTGAAGTCCAGTGAAAATAACTCTGATAAAATCTGATTGATCCTATTAGGATTCTATAGAATAATATGATTGTGTTATTGATTTGGGCACGTATTTCATTGCGTCTCCTCATGCGCCTATTTGCTGAACTGTGATTCAATGAAAACAATAACATATATGAACTATTGAGATCTTTCTGAAGAAAAAATCAACAACTGATGTCTAAGGGAAAGACAGAAGATCTTATAACCGAGAAAAGTTTAAATTAGAGGATCGATGGGTTGAAAATTGTTTTTTTGGCTGTTCATGAGAGGGCGTGGCAAATCTCAAACTGTTACCAGTTTCGGTTGAATGACTTAGTATGTGATATAATTGTAAAAATAAAATATTCAATTTCTGATAAGCCGAAAACTATCATCGTACATCATATATCAGATATTTACTTTTGTATGAAAGTTTTCAGTTTCTACACATAGCAAAGTAAATCAACTCATTCATCTATATATATATGAAAATTGAGCAAAGTGCTATAAACGATGGTTATATGGCTGATAGTATTTGAATTTTACCTGATATATTGTATGGAACTTGTTTTGATACGTAATGCACTTACCTGTAATCTATGTAGCTGAAAATCCGTGAGATTTTTATTAAAGTTTAACATTCAGTGACTGTTAGTAATAATGTTGATCTGAAGATGTACTGATTTCATCGGAAAGCAAACGTTTTGATGAATATTGATGTTACTTATATCAATGAGTCGTTGTGATGATGCTTTGTGCAACGTATTTAGATCGGGAATAAATAACAAAGCAAAGATAAGTTCTTGTGGTTTTTTAGCCACGTTCTTGAATTGCTCAGTTATAGTTGGATTTACAGAACAACCATGTTCTGAAGGAAGTAATTATGAAAGTTTCATATTAATCAGAATGAAGTATAACACATATTTTTCTTTTGAATTGATAATAGTGAGACGTGTTTTGCATCATATTTTAACAATATTACGATATGGTCCATTACCAACAGCTATGTGTTACGATTGTGCTTGTACATTGAAACTATTCGTGAAGAAACACTTTGGTTCAGATAATTTGAAGTCAACAGAATTCACAGAATTTTTAATATCACTAACCATGGCAATTGATCGATTCCATGTGAAAAATCATAAAAGACATACATAGGCGGCGGAGCAAAGTAAATTTAGGGGAGGCTCAAAAAATAAATAAAAAATTGGAATACGAGCGTTGAAAGGTACTAAGTAATTTATGGAAGTCTTTACATTTTCCTCGAGAATCCATAGAAGTATTAACTACATTACTTTTNATAGAAAGTATACTATTAGATGATACAGTTGTTGTTGATTTTATTTTAAAGTCATTAATTGATTTAGTTGATAATGATGACGATGCCTATGAATAAAAACAAAAAATAAAATCTATATAAAAAAATAAATAAATTCAACCAACCGATTCAAGAACATCAAAAATATTTTTATTGTTGTCATCCATCTTCTTGACTACGAATAAGTAAATAAATCTAAAAAAGATTGAAATATAAAAAAAGAATTCTAATGATATGCTTCTTTAATCAATTGATTAATCGAATTCGATGTTTTTTCTCTTTGATGATATTAAAGTTTTATTATTCATTTACAAAACCAAAAAAAAATAGATATTCGAGTAGATGAATTTTAATCATCGATAAATAAATATATTTAAGATAGGATGTCGAACATTTTTTGGGTGACAGAACATGACTGTTGCCATCGAACGCCTACGCTGAACAAACAGCATTAAAAAAAAGAGAAAAAAAAATGAAAGAAAGAATAAAAACTTAAGAAATTCTTTTTCTTTCGTTCGGCCGGCAGTCTCTTTCACATAGTTGATTTCCGATAGATAAATTGATTAACCAATAAGTTTATACTCTTGAACGATGATAAAAAGAAGTTTCTTAAAAATCAAATCAATCATAGAAATATATTTATCAGAGTTAAGTAATAATAAATAAAAGACACAACATTGACAATTACTTAAAATATGTAAGCAAACAAACAAAAGTATAGTAGATGTCAGTGACATCTCTCAGTTCATCTCAAATTTGAAAACCAGCATTTCTAATGGAAATCCATAATGAAATGTTTTGGAACATTGTATTTATATGAGACAAAGTATACATTAACATTTTTCATCATAGACAGATTGTATCAAAGTACATAACAACCACACTTTTTGAATAATGTTTTTTTAACAAAATAAAAACAAGAAGTAAGGAAATTTTGTTTGAAAAAAAAAGACTTATTGACTAATAAAAACAGGTAACAATTGAAAAAAAATCTTTTGCTTCTTTTCTCTAATATAAGAGAAGAGAGATTAAAGGATAAAAGAAAAAAGTTCAAGTTATTTTAACAATAATAGAATAAGTAGTATTCACATTTTTTTTCTTTTATAAATTCATATGAAGTATCTAGAAAATTAAATCTTATTTTATTCAGACAACTGAGAAATAATGCGTATATCAAGAATAACATATGCTTCTACTTGATATATATACTTCTAAAAGTCTAATTGAAAATGTAATAGAAGTATTTTTCAC